TACACTTATGCAGACCAGTTGCTGGGGAAGATGGGTAGGGGAGTCTGTTGCCCTCAAGTCCTGCTCGAGGGTAGCCACTGTGAGTTTTTTTAAAAAGGAAAAAGATAGAAATCTAATAAACAGACAACTCAACAGTTGATCTAATCCAGTATGACTCTTCTTATGGGAAGAAAAGGTAGGTAAGAGAAGAGTTATGTGGCCACAAATGCTCCAAATAAATAAATAAATAATAAAAATAATGCTAATAGTAGAAGTAGCAGTAGTAATGGCGCAGGACAGCCATGTCTGCTTGCTTTATCCAAACGCTGAGTCATGCCTTTGGCCCACTTGGTTGAGTACTTTCACTTCCTCCAAGGGCTTCCTCCAAGGGCTGAGGAAACAAGAAGGCAATTAGAAGTCAAACTCATCCCACATCTCTCTGTAAGAATCAGCTCATGTCTGCCAGTTTTACACACCCAAAGTACTTTGCACTGGTAATTGGGGAAAGGACCTAAACTGTCATTCATCAACTTGTTACAAGTACCATATTTTTCGCTCTATAAGACGCACCTGACCATAAGACGCAACTAGTTTTAAGAGGAGGGATCCATGGAAAGCTTCCTGATAATCACAGGCACATTCCCCGTCACTTCCCCATGGGCTTCATTAAAAGATGGGTTGCCATTTGAAAACACACACCGACCTGTGATTAACAGCTCTCACCTGCGCCGGAGGAGGAGGCGGAGCAGGGCGCACCGAGCGCGTGCCGGCCAGGTGTGGTGCAGCCAGGCTGGCAGCGTGCCGGCAGTGGTCTTCCCAGGCAGTGGGGGTGAGCAGTCTGTCTCTCTGTGCAGCCGGCAGGTTAAAGCCCACAGCTCCTCCTCCTCCGCGGCAGGTCTTCCCGGGCGGTGGGGGTGAGCAGCCGGGCTGGCAGCGTGCCGGCAGTGGCCTTCTGGGCAGCACAGTGGTGGCAGGTCTTCCTGGGAGGTGGGGGTGAGCAGTCCATCTCTCCGTGCGGCCGGCTCCTCCTCCTCCGCACGCCTCCCCCTGAGCGGCGCAGCTCTCACCTGCGCCGGAGGGGGGGGCAGAGCAGGGCGCCCCGAGCGCATGCCGGCCAGGTGGTGCCATGTGGTGCAGGCAGCCGGCAGCGTCACCAAAAGGCAGCACTATTGACCAACAGAGTTTGGGGCCACATTACTCATCTGCTGGCAAATATAATTTTGTGCTGGACTGAATGTTATCAGTTGGAATTTCCCCACCCCATTTTCCAGCACTTTTTGCTTAGCTGATCTTTGGATTTGACCAAACAATTGACATAAGTAAACTTTCCAGCCATTTTCTCTTTTGAAGTCAGCAGGAATTGAAGCCACTGTGGTCTCAGGGACTTTTGAAAGCTTGGGGCAGATCTATTTATACCCATAAGGTCCATAAGTCTTGGGAAGTGAGACTACAGAAGACCCTGTTGACATCTGCAAGGATTGGCATTGTTTATTTTGCTACTGGTTTGAGTGGGATTGTAGTTTACTGGAAAAGTTTTCTATCCTGTCTTTCAGGGGAATGGGCTGGCAGTATTTTTACTATATTATATTATAATTAAAGGTAGGCTAACTGTGTTGACCCGACAATTCAAGCAGAATATTATTATTATTATTATTATTATTAATAATAATAATAATATTAGAACATTTCTATGCCGCCCCTTGCCGAAGCCTCGGGGCGGCTTACAACACAATAAAATACAATACAATACAAAATTAACAATATAAAATTAAAATTAATAATATTAAATAAATAAATAATATATATATATATATATATATATACACAATATAAGAAAAGTTATAAAAGAAAAGAAAAGAAGTCGCCCTGGCCAGATAAATAAGTAAATATTGTTAACAATTAAAATGATGTTTAAATAAAAAGGTCTTCACCTGGCGCCGAAAAACAAATAACGACGGCGCCAGGCGGACCTCTCTGGGGAGCACATTCCATAGATTGGGCGCCATCGCAGAGAAAGCCCTCCTCCGAGTACCTACCCTCCTAATTTCTTTCACGGAGGGTTCCCGGAGAAGGGCCTCTCCCGCAGATCTCAAGGGGAGGTCGGGCATATACGGACGTAAGCGCTCGTTCAGGTAGCCAGGACCCAAGCTGTTTAGGGCTTTATAGGTCATAATCAACACCTTGAATTGGGCCCGGGCTTCAATGGGAAGCCAGTGAAGCTGTCGGAGGACTGGAGTCATGTGAACATAACGCCCCATCCCCGTCAGCAGCCTGGCAGCTCTATTTTGAACCAACTGAAGTATCCGGACCGTCTTCAAAGGAAGCCCCACGTAAAGCGCGTTACAGAAGTCAAGGCGGGAAGTCACCAGCGCGTGTGTCACCGTCGCCAGGCAGTCGTACTCCAGGTAGGGGCGCAGCTGATTAATCAGCCGAAGCTGAAAGAAGGCGTTCCTCGCCACCGCTGTCACCTGAGCTTCCAATGAAAGCTCCGGGTCAAGGAGTACTCCTAAGCTGCGGACCTTGTCCCTAAGAGGGAGTGCAACCCCATTCAGGGCCAGGTCAAATCCACCCTCTCTGAAGCCCAATCCGCCAACCAACAGGACCTCCGTCTTGTCTGGATTGAGCTTCAGTTTATTGGCTCTCATCCAACCTATAACCTCGGCCAAGCATCGGTTCAGCACAGCCACTGCCTCACCTGGATTGGTTGAAAATGAGAGGTAGAGCTGGGTATTATCAGCGTACTGATGATTCCATAGCCCACACCTCCTGATGCCCTCTCCCAGCGGTTTCATATAGATGTTAAACAGCAAAGGGGACAAAATGGAGCCCTGTGGTACTCCATGGCATAGCTGCCATGGCGCAAAGCCATAGTCCCCCAGCACTACCTTCTGGAATCAGCCGTTGAGATAGGAGCGGAACCACTGCAAAGCAGTGCCTCTGACTCCCAATCCCGCTAGCCTATCCAGAAGGATACCATGGTCGATGGTATCGAAAGCCGCTGAGAGGTCCAGAAGAACCAACAGGGATGCACTCCCCCTGTCCTTCTCCCTGCACAGGTCATCATACAGGGCGACCAAGGCAGATTCAGTACTGTACCCGGGTCTGAAGCCGGACTGAAATGGGTCCAGATAATCAGTTTCATCCAAGAGTGCTTGGAGTTGTCCCGCCACCACCCGCTCTAACACCTTGCCCAGAAACGGGATGTTGGCCACTGGTCTATAGTTAGTGGCCATCTCTGGATCCAGTGACGCTTTCTTCAGGACCGGTCGGACTGCCGCCTCCTTTAAAGGGGCAGGCACCCGACCCTCCCTCAGAGAAGCGTTAACCACTTCCAAGATCCAGGTCCCAATCCCGTGCTTGGAATTATTTAATAACCAAGACGGGCAAGGGTCCAATAGGCAAGCGGTGGGACCTGGCTATAGTCAAGATTAAATAACAGGTATAAACAGGTAATATTGCAGGAGAGTCTTCAGATCTGATTTAAAGTGTGATAAAATCTGAGCACTGTTAAGCATAAATCTAATTATTATTCTTAGCAAGTGGTCCAGAGAAATATTAGATTCTGCCCTTCCTCCAGGAAGTCCATAGATATTGATTCTTGTTCTTGCAAACTAGGGCTGATGACCACCCATTTCTGGAGGGATTTCTTGGGGGGGGGGGTGGTTCAGATCTTTGCAACCTTCTCCCCCAAAATGGACACCATTGTTCTGGCTTGCATACAGTGCTTCAAAATCATCTTTCCACTGTTGCTACAGGCACAGGTTTAATTCCAATTTGAAGATTCATATTCTTGCAATATTACAAGTGACAGCAATTCTCCCCCGAAGGTAAGAGTGAACTCTTTTGATGCTTTATTTACTTATTTTTCTGGTTATGCTGCTATCCTGCCTTTTCCTCTAAGGAACCCAAAGCAGTGTGTGCGCAGGGCTTGTCTCCACGAGGTGCTCATTGTGCATGCCAGCTTCCTCACTCCTGGTATTCTGTGTGTGGTTTACATGACGTCGGCACCCTCTGGGGCATCTCCCATGCCTTCCAAGCATGGCTGCAGCTTGTGTTGGAGCAGGGAAAGAGTGCTCTTATTTTTCAGTGGCAGAATGAGAAGGTGGCCTATTTCGCAACTCTGCTGCAGTGCAGCACTGCATGGAGCAAGAAAGAACCCCGAATGGGGAATGAGAATCCAGAAGAGGCCTTGGGGTGGGGGGATAAAACCTGCAGATGGGGAGTACCATAGTCCTCATCTCTATTTTGTTCTTCTGTGAGGCAGGTTAGGCTGGGCATACCTGACTGGCACAAAGTCCCCAAGAAAGCTTCAAGGCTGAATGGGAACCTAGAGCCCGGGTCTGTGAAGGCTCGGTCTGACCTTTAAACCAGCCTTCCCCAAACTGTGTTCTCCAGATCTGCAACTCAGGCTCCTCTGCAATGCCAGACAAGCATCTTTTTATTCTCTCAGGTTTTAAAAATTATTTCCATGTTAATTGGGTTTTAATATGCAATGGTTTATGTTGGCAGGTTAGGAATGATGTGGATTGCATCATCCAAAAGCAGAATCTCAAGCGAAAGATGTTCAAACACGCCTTCCCCAGTCCGATTGCATCCACCGAGCTGGACTGTAACGCCCGCCACTCCCAACCAGTGCATCCACAACTCCCATCATTCCCAGCCCCTGAACTACAATCCCCACCCTTGGCCCCTGGCCTGCAGCGTGACACGTGCGTGAGGTGCCCACGTGTGTGTGAAGCTGCTCTGCCCACACGAGACCCCACCCCTGGAGACGGGCGCACGCCCCCCCCCAGTGCCTCGAGGCGCGGGCTGGCGCGGGGGGGGGCGCCCGAGCGCGGCGCACGTGGCAGCAGCCCCGCGCCCCGGGGGGGCGTGGCCCCCGCTCGCCCCGCCCCGTCCCGCCCCCCCCGCGAGGGGGCGGCGAGGCAGCCCAGGTGAGGCGGCCGGCGCGGCGCGTGCGCGTGCATTCGCGCCAGCCGCAGCTTGCGAGAAGCGCAGCGCCGCTCGGCTCGTTCGCTCGGCTCTGCTGCGCGCCTCTGCCCCGTCCCGGTGCCGAGCACGCCCCGTCCGCGCGCGGTCGCGATGCGGGCGGCCTCCCCGCCGGCCCTGCTGCTGTGGCCGCTGGGCTGCGTGCTGTGGCTGGGCCCGCCGCTGCGCCCGCCGGGCACGGCGGAGGCGGTGTGGAGCGCCTGGCTCAACGTCTCGTGGAGCGCGCCCACCGGCGCCGGCGACTGGGAGGCCGGCGAGGGCGGCCTCTTCGGGCAGGACTCGCCGCTGCGCCGCGCGGCCGGCGTGCTGGTGCCGGCCGACGGGCTGAACGCCTGCGGGCCGTGGGACAACTTCAGCGCGGCGCCCGCCGCCCCCGCGCCCTGGCTCGCCCTCATCCAGCGCGGCGGCGGCTGCACCTTCAGCGAGAAGATCGGCGCGGCCGCCCGCCGCGGCGCCGCCGCCGCCGTCATCTACAACTACGCCGGCGGGTCGGGCACGGAGGTGCAGACCATGACTCACCCCGGTGAGTGGCCGGGCGGGCGGGCGGGCGGGCGCCCTTGGCGCGGGGGCTGCCCTTCCCCGGCCTCGCGGGGAGCCGCGCGCCTGGCTCCGGGCAGCGCGCGGGCCGGGGCGCCCTTCCCTGGTGCCCCCGCCCGCTCGCCCGGCTGACCCTGGCCTGGCCTGGCGTGGGGGCGCGGGCAGACGCTGCCGATGGCTGCGGAGGCGCAGTGCGCCCGGCCCGGTGGGCGCCTCGGGCGCGCGGTGCCCCTCCTGGCGCTCGTCCCCGGCGCGTGCATCCGTTCCCTTGGCCACGCTTTTTTGCAGGGGGCTGTGCGCATTTCATTTCATTTCTCCTTCTGGAAATGTTAAGGCCCTCCTGTTCCCAGAGGGGTCGTTCTTTCAGCCTTTTGCAGACCAAGAAATGAGGGCCTTGCGGGGTGGCTTAAAAGAATCAGCAGATATGTTCCGGCGTTGAGTTTTCTGGACTTCGTCGAAACTTCAAGGTGCTCCAAGATTCTTTGCCGCTGAGCTCCAATGGTTGTTTGGCGAGAGCCCTTTTCTCATTACTGTGTATATACAGCCTGAAGCACTGGCTGCAAACTGCCTAGTAGGGCCTCTAAGCGGGATGCAGTTCCCGGAACCATTTGCCAGAGTAAATGCACGTCTTGAAGGTGCCATGAGACTCTGTTGTTCTTGCTGCATCAAAAATCCACAGCAGGGCAAAGTTAATCATACTCGGAGTAGACCTGTTGAAATTAATGGGGTGTAAATCTCTCAGGACTCGCTTAGGTCTCATTTATTCAGTGGGTCTTCTCATAACTACCATTTAAATCTGGATTCGACCCTTTCCCAGGATAAAGGGTGCAACTGTCACAGAGCTGTGGCAAGCTCTTTAATTCTTTAGAGTGCCCTCCTCAGAACAGGGTGGCGTGCCCGTTTTTGTGAGGATCATTGGCATTAGTAAAGACATTCGCCTTCAGGTTTGTGCAGCCAGAGCTACCGAGTTTTCCTTTTCTACATACATTTACATGCATATGTTTTAATAATGCAATGTGGTGTGTCTGCTCAGAACTGCAGCCCACTGAATTCCCTTGGACCATTGGCATGCAAGTGTTTACAAGATTGCAATCTTAATTTCTCCCTGCTATTATGGATTACACTTTGCCTTTAAGTTAGTATTACTTCCCAAGCCTGTTTGTAATTAAAAGCCTTGGAAAGGTACAATATAATGAAGGACAGGTTGACTGGGCGTATGGCATTCTTCTCTGACTTGGTTCTTCCTGTTAGAGCAGGGCTTCTCCAGAGGTTGATGGACCAGTGCACATGTCATTCCTGACCATTGGCCAGGCGGGCTGAGCCTGATGGCACTTGTAGCTTCACAACTATTGGAGGGCCATGGGTTCTGCCCTCAGTTCTAGAAGAAAATATTGCAGGTGGACCTGGGTATGTTGTGCCAACCCACAAAGTCCCTTAGAAGCCCCCTTACTGGGCTTTTAAGACTTCTGTTCAGGGTCTTCCCTGCAGAGACAGAAGAGGCAAGAGGCCCCTACTGGTGAAAGACAGCAGCCTGCAGAAAGGTATCTTCTAATGGTCTGCAGTGTCTTCTGTTTACTGGTGAAGCCATATTATTGTGCATCTGTCACTCCCTTCTGTAAGATGCTCCAAGCACAATGTCATCAGGGTCTTGCTGCATCCCTGTGGATATTTATTTGAAAGTATCCCAGCAAAATTTGACCAGGCAACTCCCTAGAGAGTGGACTTAGGCTTGTAGCCTTGGCTGAGTTCCCAAGGTTGCAAACTGTGCTGATAACTCTGGCACGAAACTTTCTGTGTGTATGCACACAGATGAGAGAGAGCGCTCGCTCTCTCTCTCTCTCTCTCTCTCTCTCTCTCTCCCCTCTGCCTTCAGAAAGCGCTATTTGTCTGTCCCTCTGTTTTCTGAGTTGGTCAACAAAACTGGGAGCAAGTCAAACAACCAGTTAGTTCTGTGGGAGATTCCTTTTCTGATTATCTGAGGTCCAGGTGCTTGAGACCTTAAATGCTGGTTTTAACTATCAAATAAAAATACAGAGATTGATTTAGCTGCGTTTATAGACTATAATTTTGCTGCTGAAGATGAGGAATGTGGAATGTACCTGTGTACACGGACTGCATGGAAGTCACTGGGTAAACGCACAAAGCACACTTTCTAGCTTGCTAGGTGGTCTTTGTATGATGCTCAGGATGATCAGGAGAGGAAGCAGGGAAATATTTGACCTCCTGTTCCATTTGAGATTCTTTTTTTAAGTGGGCCAGGAAAGTGTGCTGCATGGTGCTGTTGCTTCAGACCTTTAAAACATAACTGATGGAGTTGTCTCAAAACTGTTTTCTGCTGCTTCCTGTCAGTAGAAACAACTATAAGTAGAAACATAGAGCGAGGCAGAAGGGTTTCCCGGGCCATCTAGTCTGACCTCCGGCACCAGCCGGCTCCACTCACGACATGCCCACCATGTGGACGTCCAGCCTATCCTTGAACACCCGCACCGATGGGGCCTCAACGACCTCCCGTGGAAGCCCATTCCACACCCTCGGGGTCCTGACTCTCAGGAAGTGCTTCCTGGCATCCAAATGGAACCTTGGCTCCCTGAGCTTTGCTCCGTTGGAATGCATCTTGCCTTCCTTCCAAACATTGTGTGAACGATTTCCACTTTAAAGGATTCCAGGAATACCAGGAGTAGTCATAATGGAGTCTTGTGTAGTAATGTGTTCCTCTGAGAAAAGAAAGAGAAGCATTTGGCTTTCCATTCCTCTGTAGTGCATCCCAGGTGGTTAGGGAATAATAATGTTGTCTTCATTTAGGTGATAGTCATCCTTTGGGGATTATTAAGTGCACAGCAGTTTTGTTTTGTTGCAAAACTTATGTTTACATCCTGGATTGATGTTACATTCCATTTTCTGTGACTATAGCATGCATATTTAGTTAGTTACTATATTTATAACAGAGTTTAGAAACATTGTTATAGTCCAGACACCCATTTGGGATACTCTTCTCCTCTGTGGAGTTTCAAATGCTCTGCTTTTTAGGGACAGATTCATAAAAAAGCTTTGATGATGTTGCTGCAGGTCCATCTATGCTAAACCAACTTTTCCGCAGTCTTCCCTGCCATTCTTGGCTGCTTTTTGCAAACATCTGCATCTGCCCATCGTGCCACAATTCGTGCCTCAGCAAATGAATAGTTGGTCAGAAAAAGGCTCTCTGCTGGCAATACAGCAAGGATCCTGGGTAGCTGAACACATTAACTGGGTGTACATGCTAAAATCTGTAACATAAAGTACATTATGTAGCCACTTAGTTCTCAGCTAATGCAGTTGAAGGTGGGTTATTTGTGTAAATATTTCAGCCACTGTGCTGCATGGTGTGTGCTTGTGTAGCAGTATGTAAGTAGGGCTGGGAGACTATGCAAATATGGGTATGTGTGCAATAGAGTGCAAAGAGACACTTCAGAATGAACGTGAGGAGAACTGGTTTGTCATCCGATCCCTTCAGTAAGTCATTTTCAAGCTGTCTTCTGCAGAATCTTTTTTCTGTCCCTCAATGCTTGTTGGATTTCTCATGGAAAGGATCCACTGTGGCAGTCGGGTTTCCTTGCCTAGCAGTTTGCCAGTGTTGCTGCTTTTTCTTACCAGTGCAAAGCCACAGGACGTGTTCTGGAGGGTGCTGCAGGTTAGTGTGTTGCTTTGGTAAGACTAAACAGGCTTGCGTGGAGCGGGTAGTGCAGCCCTGAGTCCCTAGAATCCTTTGCAGCTTGCAGAGCTTTCATAGAAAATGTGGATTAAGTTGGAAACAGGATGATGTAGAAGGGTAGGGAGCTTGAAAGTGCCTGGTTCAAATGCAAATAGTTTTGCACACAGTTGCAATGGTTGTGTTGACTCCACAACATTGTAATTGCTATCCTTTAAAATGTGGATTTAGCACTGTCTTGATGCCTTCTCTGACTAGTTGCATGTTATAGCTTAGTTTTCTGCTTTTTCTCACTTTTTTCCTCTGGTCTGTTGGAGGCACACCATTCAATTCTATATCCATGTTTGTGGCTTTTCTGTCATTTTATCCTGCCCATATATAATCTCATCACTAACATTTAAATTCTAGAAACTGGGTTTAACTTAACCATCTCTGACATTTCCAAACAAGTAAGTAAGAGTTTGACAAGTATCTTCTTGAGAGACATGTAAAAGAAACCGCTTGGTCTTGGTAATTCTGTGTCTTGATGTACGTGTGTGCATATTCTAAAAGGGGCTTGGTTTCATTATTACACACACATTAAAATAGTACGCACTGATCACGTTGAGGGTGAGTTGAGTGATAAATGCACTGTATGAACTCCAAGATGGAATTAATCAATGCATGTATAACTGTTAAATCTAGTCTAGTAAAATCATAGAATAGTGTTGGATGTCCATCCAGAAGGCCATCAGGTCCAAGTCCCTGCTCTTGCAGGTCACCAATTTATACCATCCCACTCAGATGACTGTCTAACAAACAGTCCTAAGCATATTAAATAGGTCTGGCAGAAAAGCAAATGGAATGCATAGACATCCATAGACAGAACTCAGACATGGAGAGACGTCTCGGTGCCTAGACTGAGGATTGTTGTGCACGGAAGACTAGGCTGGTGGATATGCGTGCTGAATCTGGGCCTAAATGAGCTAGACTGGTTCTTAGGGAGCTTGAGGGAAGTAAATCTGGGTTTAAAACTTGCTGGCAGAGGGCAAGGAAGAACTGCAGATTTGAGAGAGGTTTTGCATCAGTTTGAGTCAGGCATATGCATAAACCAGGTTTAGACATTGCACTGGGTCTAACTTCTCAACTTTCAGACAAGTACATGATGGGAAAGCAGCAGATAAAGGGGTGGAGGCTGGTGAAAGGACCACCAGAAAATAAATAAGTCTTAAGAGAGACATTGTTATGGATCCTGCTGAATTGTCTTGAAGATGGAGCTGGCTTCTTTGGGGAATTCCTGCACTTGTTGTGGGGAAAGGAAC